GGGGGGGGGGGGGTCGATGTCAACCTATGACGTCTTTCGAGTTAACTTATTTACCGCACAACCAAATGTCCGGTGGACATATGCCTGTCCATTGGATCCAATTGACAAAATCAAATGTCCACTGGACATATCTATGTACATTGGATCCAATGGACAAATCAAATTTCCAGTGGACATGTGCCTGTCCATTGGATCCAATGGACAGCTGAAGTGTCCATTGGACATATGCTTGTCCAATGGATCCATTGGATCCAATGGACCATTGGACACACTCCCTTACCATCTCACAGGCCTGCTTACCTGCATGGGGTCAATGCCCACATATGACGTCATTCGAAATAACTTATTTACTGCACAACCAAATGTCCAGTGGACGTATTCCTTTCCATTTGATCCAATGGACAAATCAAATATCCAGTGGACATCTCTATGTCCATTGGATTCAATGGACAACTGAAATGTCCAATGGACATATGCTTGTCCAATGGATCCATTGGATGCAATGGACCATTAGATATACTCCCTTTGCCATCTCATTGGCCTGCTACCTGCATGAGGTCGATGCCAACATATGACGTCATTCGAGATAACGTTCTTAATGCACAACCAAGTGTCCGGTGCACTTATGCCTGTCCATTGGATCCAATGGACAAATCAAATGTCCAGTGAACATTTCAATATGTCCATTGGACATCTTGCTGAGGTATTGAACATTAATCATGCTTCGCGACCCAAGGTCAATCAGGAACTATTTGATAAGAAATAACCAGTCAAAGGTTATTCACAGAATTAAGAATATGCCACCAAAATATCCTTATCTTCTTTAGGATCAGCTCTTTTGTATATACGATTAACCATATGCACAAGGTATCATTTTTATTGTATCCGCTGAATTTATACTATATTTTATACGCATGTTTTGTGGTCATAATCTAACAGGCGGAGTATATATGGTAGATTCAAATTAATAAAAAAGTTGTGTTCTCCAACCTTATAAATAAAATTTTCTTGTCGGATTTTTGAGTTCAGCTGCAATCTGGCACGCGAGCGTCAGGCGCATCGGGTGATAAGTGCGAGCAAGGCAAATGTAAAGTGCGAGATGTAGCTTTAAATTGTTGTCTAGCTGCGAGTGAGTGCGCGTTTTCCAACCTGGGTGCCAGTGAGAACTTGTTGAAGATGATACCAAGTGGATGGGTTGTGCTTCGTGTCCTTTTCTTAAATCCCACCGGGCACACGACGTTGTTTCAACGTTGAAATCTGGTAGAAAAAAGGTTGCGACGTCGACAACCTAATATCTACGTTGCTCTGACGTTGCTTTACAAACATTGGTTCAACAGCAGCCAACAGACGTTGAATTAACGTTCATTCATGGTTAAATGTACGACGTCGATTTGTGAACCAATCTCAACGTTGTTTTAACGTGGATTCAACGTTGAATTATGGTTGACGAGATTGGCAACCTAATTTCAACGTTGTTTCAACGGCGAAACAGTAACGTCGATCCAATTTGCATAGTCAACCCTTTTTCAACGTCTATCCAACGTCTGGAAGGTCATTTCCAACGTTGATTCAACGTTAGATAAACGTCATTTTGCCCGCTGGGCTGTAGCTTGTGAGGACATTATGAAGAGTTCTATACTTAAAAAAACTGGGTCATTGTTTTGAAGTAAACAGGAGAATGATGGGGATGTGCCGGATACTGTTTTGCCGGATACCAGATAGTACCGGATAGTAGTCTACCGGATACCGGTCAGGAGAAAATGATGACCGGATACCGGATAATAACCGGATACCGGATAATAACCAGATACTCCCATACAATAATTTATTAGAAACACAACATTTTTATAGCTTAATTAACTAGTCCAATGTGGTAATGTGTTTAATACAATAACTTCAAGAGTTTTTTGTCTCTTTGACCTATTTGTCTTTACCAAGGCCATATCTTATGATTCACCTTACATTATTTACTGGTATTCAGTATATAAAATTCACTGCTGTTGGCGAACGAGCAGGTCACATTACCATCACAAAGAAAATATATTGTAATTTCGTCGTAATGCAGCGCACGCTCAGTAATTGTTCGTGTTTCACAGTTTTTAAACGCCAAGTAAACTTTTCAGTTTGATGGTTGTAACAAAATATCTTGCAGTACTATCTGGTAAATATCCGGCAAATTTATCCCGGTTCCCGGATAGTGCCGGATGTCTAAATTTTACCGGTTATCGGATACCGGTATCCCGATCCGGCACATCCCTAGAGAATGATATATGGAATGAGGTGTATTGGTTGTGACTTATCCGCGATGCAAAGATTCTGCTCAAAAATGAACATGCCGAACCCATAAACCCGAGGGCTTATAGTTACTACACAAAAGCCGTCTTGCATGCTATCAAAGATGTAGCTGAATCAACCATGAAACATGCTGTTGGCAAACTCCACAATTTGAAAAGTAATAATGTGTTAAGAACGGAGTTTTTATAACTGCTATATCATGTGACGGTACCTGACAAAGAAGGAGATTCTCTTCGTTACATGGTTGTATTTCAGGTAATCTCCATGGAAACTGCTAAAATTTTAGATTTGGAGCCTCTCAGTAAAGTGTGTCGCAGCTTTATAAAGTTTGAGGCAAATATGACTTCGAGACTGAAGAATTGAAAGCAGAACATGCCTTAAAGTGTAAAACAAACTATAGTGGATCAGCACCAGCTATTGAGCCGGAAGGCGCGAAGCGTATATTTAAGCACTCAGTAAGTTCAGGTAAACATCAATGTGATGAACTGTTTGTTGATAGAGACAGCAAGACCTTTAGTGTAATTGAAAACATGCAGTTGACCCATTTAAAACTTCCAGATGCCTATTTTAGCCTTTAAATTAGGTTTCTTTATCGAGAACATATCTAGATAGATAGATAAATAGTTTATTCCAATAAAACACCTAGCAGCCAAAGGCTGAATTACGTGCTAAGAATTTTGCAATATACTACATCTACTATTTACCAAATAATGTTCAATATAACTAAATTCTATAACGTTCGATAGCATGGCTAATTATAAAAGAGTTCTTAAATCTATTAGTTCTATATTTTGGAATTTGATTAGGTCTCTAATCCTACGCAGATTTATGGTGTCGGAAGCCTTTAACGGAAGAAGTGAAGCCAGCTTATGATCTGTATCGCTGGCTATCATCTCAAATAAGTCTTTAGAGAGTTTATCACGTCTAGCGAAAAGTTTTACTAAATCAGTTGCCTCAAGTGCCATTCAGTTCAGGGTAAATCGTTCTCATTGCGCGCCGCTGTATTGCCTCAATCTGGGTAGATAAGTAATCAGGGAGGCTGCGGTGGAATACCTGGCATGCATATTCTAGGACTGATCTTATTACAGGACAGTAAAACTGCACTAAATCATGAGTGTTTATCCCAGCACGCTTGAGCTGTCGTAATAGATATAAACGCTTTGCACCCTTGGATGTTATTGCATGAACATGAGCGTTCCATTTAAAATTATTTTGAATCGTCAGGCCAAGCACTTTTACAGACGGAACCTTATCAAATTGTATACCGTTAATCGCAATGGGCACATATATGATTCACGGGAATTCTCTTGAAAGTAAATCAAATCTCCTTGCACTTTGATGGATTAATTTACAAGACATTCTCCTTGGACCAGCTACTGATGTGATCGCGAGCTGGCTGAAACTTGCTGTGATTACATGGTGGAATTGCTCAGAAACGGTGGAGTCATCAGCAAACTTCCACATAAGTGTAGAAACATCAGGTGTCTTCAGGTCAGTAATCATGACAAAAAAAAGCAACGGGCCGAGACGGGTTCCCTGAGGGACCCCAGCCGGTACGCTTTGCCAGTCAGAGTAGCAGTGTCCACTAAGCTTTATCCTTTGCTGTCTGTTCCTCAGAAAGTCAATAATCCAATTCAAGGTGATAGATTTTAATCCAAGACTTCAGAGCTTGGTCACTAGCGTCTGGTGGTCGACCAAGTAGAAGGCTTTGCGGAAATCAACTGCAACAGTTCTTACCGACCATCCAGTACCGTCGGCGGTACTGAGCCAATGATGGGGCATGGAGATGAGTGAAAGGGTAGTGGATGAGCCAGGAATAAAGCCATACTGGTTGGGATCGATAGATGGTAACTTTGTAGGTGTTAAGGATTTTTCAATGATATAGGATTCAGCTGCAATCTTAGACAGTGTGGACGTAAGTGAAATAGGTCTTAAACCCTTATTAAAGTCACGTATTGTAGTAGCCTTGGGAATTGATGGAATATTGGCAAGCTTCCAGACTCGAGGGACTTTACATTCTTCAAAGGAAGAGTTAAGAATGTCGGTGACTGGTGCAGCCAAGATGTCAGCAAATTCCCTCAGCACACAATTAGGAAGATCGTCTGAGCCACATGCACGAGAAATACTCACAGCTCGAAGTTTTCTGGCAACCGAAAACTCGGACGTCGATAGATATTGGTAGATCGCCATCTGTAGGAATGTAATCACGATCAGATAGGGGCAGATAATCTTTCATCACACTTAAGAATGCATCGTTGATTTTTCCCGCCAAAACTGACTCGTCATCACATGCTAAATCATCATGGAGGATGGATGATAGATCACGCCCAGTACATTTGGCAGTACCACATAACTGTTTGACTTCGCGCCACCAATCACGAGGTTTGATATCGCCCAAATCCTAAACTTTAGACTCGTAATAAGCACTACGGGATCGCCTACGTTCCCGGTTTACTTTATTTCTTAGGATATTATAAAGGGACTCATTATTTGACGCAAGGGCCTTTTGGCGGCGAGTAGTAAGACCCTTTAGTTGAGCAGTTAACCAAGGTCGATCTGTCTCATGGACTTTCACTGACAGTTTAGGCATAATAATGTCCAATCCGAGATTGATAAGTTCCGTAAACAACTTAAGTTTCTCCTCGCACGACTGCAGGCTGGAAAATAAGTTGGACCAAGGAAGTTGGAGCAGGAACCGACCCATACTCGTCACCTAACTTGGTCTCTTATCTCTTGCCTTGATGATCTTGTGCTGAGGTTTACTTGATTTTTTCCGATTTCCTGCACTCACCAATACCGTCAGATGATGCGAGAGGCCAAACGCGGGCAACCTCCTGGACAAGAGTAGAACTCAGACAGATTGGTGAATATTTGGTCTACCAATCGCCCCCCCCCCCTGGTAGGGAAATCTGCCGTCGGCTTTAATTGGAAGGATCTAACACTGGACGAAAAATTGGATTTACCACTATAGGAAACACAGAGCAAACTTGAGATAATGCCGTATTTGCTCGTAAATATGAGCATATGCGGCATTATCTCAAGTTTACTCTGTGTTTCCTATAGTGGTAAATCCAATTTTTCGTGCAGTGTAACAGCCGCTTTAAACAGAGACATAAGAGTCTTATTAAAGTCTCCCGCCATAATAATTGCGGTATTAGGATACTGTGACTCGACATTCTCCAGAGATGTTATCAAATAGTCTTTCATAGTGGTGTCATTGGCATCAGGGGGTTGATAAACTACACCAACGATAATATTAGAAAAGCCACGTGACAAACGTTGTGGTCTCAACTCTGCCCAAAGAACTTCATGATCTATATGATAAAGGTTAGATAAGACTTTACACTCGATGGACTCTTTAACATACATACATACGCCCCCGTGCTGACCATTAACACGATTCATTGGTTCATCTGGAACATTTTCCCGTAACCAAGTCTCGGTAAAAAAGGCGATATCAGAGTCGATGTTATTAACTGCATGTGCGATCTCGTCAATTTTGGGCGCCAATGACATGGTGTTGGATAACAAAAGCGATGGAACATAATGACTCCCCGGGAAATTTCCATCCATACTTCTGAATTCAGATTGTTTTCGAATATTTAATAAGTTGGCAAAGTTTCTGCAGTTTTGAGTTCTGGAGATTGATCTAACAGGTTTATTTACTCTAATACTTGGTATTAGTGAAGGAATTTGACGAGTACCGTGTTTCTGTACATGATTAGATCTACTACGCTTTCCTCGAGTAGACTTCTGAATGCCGGCTGCTTTAAATACGTTCCATTCAGTTAGCACAACAGGCTTGATCTTTTCGGGTATTTTTTCCCTCAATATCTCTGTGAGAATAAAAAGGACCGACTACATGTGATTGCCATAAACGTAGGATGAAATATCGTAATTGATAGGCGTCAAAGCTATCTTCTTTGTAAGATATAAATGTAAAATTTTACGGAGCTAAATAAAAGCAGCCATTACAGCGCTCATTTACCATCTACAAATATTTTAAACTTAATTTTCTCAAATTGTCAACTCACGAGCTGGCAAAAACTCTCCTGGATTTGCTATTTATTCATCAAGATGAAATTTTCAGCATTTGCTCACTACTACTAAATCTGTGATGTGAACCTAAAAAATACCATGTGTGAGTTATACTCACCACATGGTAACCCAATTACTGAACTTCGCACCCCCATATTTTCATTCATCTATAAAGAAGCGTAAAATTTATACACTTTATGCCTCTAGCTAAGTATTTTTTTTTTTTAGGTTCGCATCATATATAAGTCTATTTTGTATCAATTAAAGCTGCTGGGGAGATCATGGGTAGTTTACTTTGCCTCTATCATTTTTGGCGCAAACGCCATATTTGACCCTATAGGGGTCCTATCTTGGCAACAACAAATGTATATGTGAGTGATTTTGAGACAGCCACCCAAATCCTATAATATTTGAGTAAAAAATGAGGAAAAAGCATTAAATTAGGAAAAAAAATGTCAATGTATAAGACCACCTTATTAAAATAAAATAAAGCCTATAGAAAGCTACAATATATACCTTAGTATATTTTATAAATTGTGTTTTCTGTTTAAAAGTCTTCAAGTTTCATCTATTTTTTGCAGGTTTGTACAAAAAGTTTAAAAAACAATTATCGTGTTGCCATGACCACAGATGAGGTAAGTACAGATATGAATCTCCCGTCATATTGTTTATTGTTTTGTGTCACACGGGATTCGCAATTCCGGCGAGCGCTGGAAAGTGTCGTTCTGTAAGTTAATATGGAAAGTAATAGGAAAACGCTGTTAGAAAGACGAAACATTGTTTTTTTTTTAAATCTGTGCTACCAACGGTTATTTTTGGAATGAATTCTTCAAGAGTAACGGTAAGCGATCACTTTTATTGATTTCCTTTTATTAAAAGTGCTAACATAACATTTTATTTAGCAAAAGTTTGTTTTTCCCTATCTACTCCCTGTTAAAAACGTGGGAATTTCGGATGCTCATGTATAAATAACAAAACAGCAAATGATGTCCTCAAAATATAACTCTCGCATAAAAAAAAAGCATGAATAGTTCTATAATATGTATCGTTTTAATTCTCTGCATTATTAAAATTTAATAAAATAGTGAATTAATATAATTTAAAAGTTTATTTGGTCGGTGTGACATAATTTGCCGCGAGATTCGTCTCTGTATATCTCTCCTCTGTGACATGACTAACATGATGTTAGCAACGCGAACCTGCGTTTAGTGCCTACATAATTACGAATACTTCATGTTGAAACAATGTTTGGAAAATATAGGCGAGGGGTCGTTGCATGCATGTATTTCTAGTATCCATTCTAATAATATCGTGTTACGTTGAAAACAACTTCAAGTATACTTCATGCTCGGAAAATATAATGGTTTTGCTAGCAAGGCGAGGGGTTTATGTATGCATGTATTTTTTGCATTCACATTCATCTGAGGTGACGTTTACTAAGTACTATTTAAAACACGAGAAGGAGTGTTTTATATTTAAAACGCCAGGCGCAGCCGAGCGTTTTACATATGATAAAACGCGAGTTCGAGTGTTTTGAATAGCTTAAAATACGACTACAAAAGAATACTAATTAGGATGAACAATTATATAATCATACTAATTAGGATGATCAATTAGATAAAGAATACTAATGAAGATGAGTTTTATCAGATATAAAGTCCTGCACGTGACATATTATGGCTGACATGATTTGCCACAAGGCTTATGAATTTTTAATGAGTATTTTAAGTACTATTTAAATATTGCCGGAAATTATATATATATCGTATTTACGACAGTGTTTGGTTAAAAGGGTTACAATTCCAACTGGACTAGTGAGAATATGAGTAGGGTATTCTTTGTGTTCGTAAATTGCTATGAGTAGACTCAGAGTTATAGCTCATATGCTCATATGCTCATAAGGCCATTTGGCATGAGATTCTGCATGCACGCTCGCAACACCTCTAGGCTGAAATAAAATTATCAGTATCGGTACTATGAGTATTTTAACAGCAACTATGTGCACAGTCATAGTTGCTGCGCTTATGCCGCTGGTATATGTAGGCCTAGAAAACTTTGCATTGTGGGACACAAGTTGGGTAAATGCAAAACGCGCATGCAGACACGTCCTGCGAGCGTTCTCGTTCTTGCTTAGGCCGTGCATGTTCATGGTTGTTAGGAAAACCAAAGATTAACTCCTGAACTTTATCGACTGCACGACCATTGCGGGACAACAACACCGGGAAATGGTGGTCAAAATCCTGTTCATTTATTACTCCAATTTATTACTACAACATTAGCCTCGATATGAAACCCGTCTTAAAAGCAGAAGTTATAATGAAAACAAATAACAGAAAATAATAGAAAATAAAAACAGTCTTAAAAGCAGAAGTTATAATGTTTCGTCGCTGTAATATGTTAGCTTTACATTGACATGTCAATTATTTACATGATTTGGTTAGCACTGGTCTAGCCCGTGGTTGGAAAAACAAATGGCTCAAAATCCACTTAAATTAATATAGATGTGTAAATCGGTTTACCTTTAGAATAAATAACAATGAAACTCTATAATCTGTGTGTTTATCAAATGAATTGCACAAAAATAGTACATGCGTGCAACAAAGTGGCACGGTATCGATTGTAATTACTATGCATCGCTTCCATGTTTTTGTCTAATAATGTATATACATTTTGCAAGGCATTCGGAAAGGAACTTTATCTCCCTTTTGAAATATCAGCAAAAGGTATTCATCCAAAGTCATGTGATGAAAAGCTATAATTGTCATGTCCATCCAAACCAATTTAAAAATAAGCAAATAATGGGAATGTACTAGCTATATTCGCCTAGCTAGTACTTGTTGTAATTATCTGATCATATAGTTAAATATATACAGTAACAGACCGGACTGAAATACTGCAGTAAAGGTATTAGACAAATCTTCCGCTCACAGCATTGTAAGAAAGAGTTAGTGCTATCGGCCAAGCCTGGGAGTTCCTCTATGAACCTCGTTCCCAGGGCTCTACGAGTGGAGAGACGAGAAAGCCCTGGTCTAGGCCGGTCATGTAACTACCAAAAATAAGGATATATTTGGTAGTTAATCGTCAAGGAGTGGCGAGATATTCTTAACTGAAAATTATATACAAGTCTTCGAAACAAATAAACAGCCAAAACAATTCTCAATCGATATTATTTATGTGTAGCGAATTTTGGCACAAATCAGCTGAAATCGCTGAAGACAGCGTCGATGTTTTCTAAGATATACCGATATTTCTGAAGATTTTCAAGCACAGTGACAAGCAAAGCCGAAGGTACAACTGTATCTCAACATGATTTTCCAGCTGCATATAGGCGTCTCCAAGTTGTGATTCACACGGAATTTTTTTTCTCTCGCGGTCTTGAACAATATGGCTATTGCCTTTAATATTTAGTTTAATTAATGAAATATGCTCTTAGATCTGACCTAGTTTGATATAAGTAAACAAAAATATAAAAACCCTCGCATAAACTGTTTGCGCTGTACAGGAATATACGAATTCGCGTGTTTCGCTGGACATGCACCGACACTTGCTGTTCAGGAGCAATTAATGCTTGCCTACAAATTTTATCCCCTTCACAATCTTTGTTTTATTTTATCGTGTATAATATAGTCGCAATTTTCATGTATTCTGAAACTGTAAAACTCGGTGTCGTGGCAAGCGAATCTTGTACGGGCTAAGTATAAACAGGACCTAAGTAGCCAATCAGAATGCAAAATTGACCGGCCCAGCTAAAATGTGGCGAAATTAACGAAAAGTTTACGAGAAAATGGAACGAAAAACGGTGGTTAAACAGAAAATAAGATGACAAACATGTTGTCCAGAAAATTAGGGAGAAACAATAATTTCTGGTTGTAGTCACTTGGCAAAGTCTCCCTTAACAACTCAGCAAAATTGATTACATCCCCCTTTCAAAGAAGTCTAGCGCCGCGTCTGTCCGCGAAACCGAAAATAATACTTGTATCAAAATTATATCGTAGCATTTAATGCAATAGCCATTGGTCCAACAGACATAAACGGTTTCTAGTTTCCTCAAACATTACCAAAGTTATTTCATTTTATACATTAATAACCATTGGAAGTTGCCATCACATTATTTGCATTTTTCTTTGTATGACTTGTTTAAAATTTGGTCAGCGTAACTTACAAATATTTTGAATAGCTTATCTTACGTCAGGAAGTCCTTGAAAATCTTTACGGCGCTTTCAGTAAAGTCGAGTAAACTGGAACATTCAGTAGCAGGAAATAGGACATTCGAAGGAAAACGGAACTTTTTAGTGTTTTGGTAAACGAGATAGAACGTACGAATGCGCTGGAAATTTTTGTAAGTTACTTCGTGGTAAGCCACGCCAATCGGTTTTCTGTATAATTTATTGGCAATGGGCCCATATTTCTCTGAGAAAAAAATTCCATAGCTAGCCCAACAAGCCAGTATGAATAAGAGCGTTGAGATTTAGAGTTTACCAAATTGATTGATTAGATTAAATTAATAGATATAGAGCTTGTAAGAAATTGATTCATATTATCATAGATCGTGATTGCATGGGTAATTACTGCAAGGAGTATCGGCAATGAAAAGGAAATGACAGAATTTTAACGAAATTTCAAGGGAATTTAGCAATATGCAATATGCAAACCGTGAACACGTGCGAACACGTTCGAACAGCGAAGATATGAAATCAATACACCTTTCCGGTGTTTTCCAGTTCACTCAGTTCATAGATAGTGGAATAAGAAGGATAGGAGACTGGGGCCTGGGGCGAGAATATGTTGAAATAAAAAAAAATAGTCACGTGGTTTTAAAGCGACACAAACACGCGCGAGGTGTTGACAATTTGTATAATTTTATATGGTATCATATTACGATTGTTGTGCTTGTTTGTTTTTTTCGGGTTAAATCGGTTGCATTTTTAAGGATGGACTGCGAAGGCGAAAGTTCGAAGTCTTTAATCGATGAGCAGGAGGCCATGGAAGCCGTTGTAAACTATTTGTCGGAAGAAATCAACGAGATTGTGGAGTTAGAAGAGTGCGTTACCCAAGGAGTTAATGAATGTCTTCTTACTAAAAGCTTTCCATGCGGCCTCTGTTCGAAGATCTGCAAATCAAAAGGTGGACTTACTAATCATACAAGGGCCAAACATGGTGAGAAAACACCGATTATCAAGTCAGTAACGCCAATAAAATCGGATGTTGTTTGTGAAATTGTTTGCAAAGCAGCGCAGTCCGTAATAAAGTCGAAGTTGTATGGCGAGAAAATGACAAAATTGATTAGCGAAGCCGACCTAAAGCCATCTGATCTTCTCGTGAGTTCTTTGTTGACATTGTATGGCGGATATTGTGAAAAATTAGACAGGGACAAACTCTTGAAAAACTTTTACAAGCTAATACCAGAGTCTGCGAAGATGTTCGAAACAAAATCAAAAGAAATGAACGTTCCTGCATACAATCTCATTATAATCCACATTCCTGATTTAGTCGTTGGCTTTTACAAACGTGGAAATGTTCAAGAAAAGCTTCCTGTCATAAAGCCAATTGAACAGTCCGAATTTGGGCCATTATCGTACGTTGCTGGTTATATAATTGCCAAAATGTATCGAAAAAGTAAAGCCACTGCAGGGAAAGAAACTCCAGAACAATTGGAACTTCAGTCATTGTTAT